CTCTTGGTGGTGCTCTTAAGCAGCTGTTTTCAATTTGTGAAATGGTTTCATTACAACAGAAATTAGGAGGTTTAACTTGCTTGCTCAGAACCTGAATCTGGCTTCTCCCCTCCTTCCCTCCACTGAGATGGTCAAATGCATCCATGGTGGCTGTAGATAGGCAGGAGGTGTAATGATAGGTGTTCAAACCTTTATGAAGCTGGTTGTTTTCATGTGCTCATTTGAGACCTAAATTAAGCTTACTCTAAACACACATGGGCCAGTAGGCAAAAATTGGATTTGCTGCCTGCTGCAGCTTTCCAGAGCCAGTGGTACGGGCCAGGGACTGACTCCTGAAGCACTAGCACGGTGGCTCTTGCTTTCCTCCACTTCATGCATCTTTGGTATAAAAGTGTACTGCTTATTTCATGTCACCCATAATGTAAGGTTTGTGCTTCTGGGGCAGAATTAGATCCCTAAGTTGGCTCAAGATGCTTTTGTTCACATGATGGCATACAATTAGCAGATGAATGTCCTTTAGATAAAAATTACAGGTTTTTCTGTAGTCACTCATGGTTTACAGAATTTGCCAGAACCAGCACGACAAGGAAGCAGCGCTACAGTGCAGATTAAGCCAGGGGAAGATTTTAGCTCCTTGCTTTCTTACCCTGTACTTCAGAATTAATCCATGAAACCTGTTTTTCAGGAGATGTTACTTCTTTTCTGTTGGAGGGGTATTTGTATGGGAGAGATTGGCTAGCAGCATAAGTAGATGTTCGGCCTGTCAGACTTGGGTCTGTTTAAAAGGTAACTTTACTTACCACTCTGATACCATCTCAAAATATCTAGTCTAACATCAAGATTAGCAGGAAGTAGGTTCTTGTATCTTAGTAATACTGTTCTGGAGGCCATGTATTTCTGAGAAAATACATGCAAAGACGGTTTTATGTTTTATCAAGCCAGCCGTACCTGTAATGGGACTTGTGGCCTCAAGAATTGAACACGACAGTTGACAAATAATTTCTTATGTGTTAGGGGATAGATCAGTCCTTTTTGAGCTGTACCAATGACAGAAGCACTTCCCTTCTTATAATTCAGATAGATGACACAGCATGAAACTGGGTAACAGAAAGGTCACGTTACTGAAACTGTTGCTATGAGGAGTACGTCTGCCAGGATTTGCAGCCAGGCGTCGTGTGGCTAGCAACTCGTTTTCTCAAGATTAGTTTTATTGGATCCACTGCTACTTTTGTGCCAGTAGCATTACAGCATCTGCTTACTTAGTTGAAATTATTTTCCTTATGACTTATCACAGCTGTTAATTTCAATTTTCTCAGTTCCCAAGTTTTGGAAAATGCTTAGGCAAGTTGTTCAAGAACAACAGTTGTCGGCATGGTTAATCCATACAGGGATTATGATAGCTAGACTAATGCCCTGACTGGAGAACAAGACACAACCCTGCCTTAATCATCTTAAGTGTAAAATCATTCTTTCAAATGTGAACAATTATGTTTTTAATAAGCCTAGGAGAAGAATTCACAAAACCATTTTATCAGCCTATATCAGTCCAATATTTGCAAGTATGTCAAACATCTCATTTTCAAAGATGAGATACACACATGCTAGAGTCATCTACTGGAACTCAGGATCTTGCAGACTTAATCTCATTTAAAATCTCTATATCTTTGCAGTGGAAATTTAATATCATTAAAAACATACAAGTTAATTTATTCCTGGAATTCATCATGAAAAAGCAATAACAGACACCGGATATATCTTTTCAGTCTAGCAACATTGGTTGTGACCTGGATGATGCCTACGGTGAAATTACAGAACAGAAAGCAACATCTCTTCTGTTATGGCCCTTGGTCAAATGTGCAAACCCTAATTTAGGACAATGGGAAGGAGCCATACACATATCTGATCCATGGAGGGTTTTTTTTTTTGTGGCAGAAAATTAGAAATAGGAAGCCATAAAAGAAGAAAATACAGCTTTTGTTTAAACTCCTGTGATTCCGTTGTTGCAGAGCAAGACTTTCTACCACGTATTTTCAGACTGCAGTGCCTTTCATTCTGGAGCTGTAGGAACACTAATCAGTGGCCCTGGTTTTGGAGATGTTTGAGGATTGTTTCATCTGGAAGAGCTTCTTTTCTCTGCAATAGAGAGTGCAAAGAATGGAGCCATGTAATTAAATAGATAATTACTACCCAGCAGCAAGAAGACCAGGCAGACTTTCATTTGAATGTCTTTTTGGGGAAAGTATCCTATTTTTACAGGCTGTGAATCACTGGAAATGCAGAGGCTAGAAGAGGCAGTGTGTTATTATATGGTAGCTGATAAGAACCAATTCAAAGTAAATTTCCACTGTAATCATCTAGTTGTAGGAAGTAAATAATTGGTGATCCCCTATTGACATCTCTTGGTATGGATACAGCATAGTAGCATATGTCTTTACAAGCTTTATTTGGGCTTGGGTAGTTCACTTTGATGCTAAGTAATATGATCGAAACATAGCCTGGCCTCCAAGGGGTGCAGGGTGCAGTGGGGAGCTTAGGAGAGTTGGGGGGAGCTTAGGACAGAGCCTAAAACAGGTTCGGCTTCCATCTGTGACACAATTTCCTTTATGAAATTAATCATCGACAGCTTTTCTTGGCTTTTTTTCCTTTTAACCTCTAAGGGCACAGCTGGGCAGAGCTGGCCCCCGGTGTTGTGCCTGGGGGGACGCGGCCCCTTCCCCACAGCCGCTTACCGGTGAGTCACAACCCACCGGTGAGCCACAACCCGCCAGCGACACCCTGACAGTATGCCAGGAGGTGGAAGCTAAATTAGCAGCACATACATTAATCTCAACCACAGAACTTGAGCAGGCCCATGTGTTTCCTTGTGAGGAGCTACGCCATCGCTCTCCCCAACGCCTTCCCAGGCACGTGGAAGGGAAAGGGTGCTGGCGCGTCAGGAAGGCTGCTTGGTTTGAGAGTTTGGTTTTGCCGTGCTGGAGTGGGGCTGCATCTCCAAACAAGTTTACCAAAAAGGGATAAAATATCTCCTCTTCTCTACAGTCTTTCCAGAGTGCTGAGGGCTTCATCTGGGAGGCTTCTTGCAGGTCATCCCCTTCTCACCACTTTCTCTGTTGGCAGTCCGCTCTCTCCTGGCTCAAATGGGGCTTGACAAAACACGTTTCCGACAGAAGCATGAGGAAACAAAAAGCATGTAAAAATTGGGTTGCATCAGTCAGGAGACCAGCTGCGTCCCCAGCTGTGCACCGAGGGGTGTCTCTGGTTTGGTCAGGTGAATGCATGGCTGCATTTCGCCACTGTGTGGCTGGGCTGCTGGTGGTTTCACCTTTAACAGATACGTGGCTGGTCAGACAAAGCAGAGGTTTGTGTCTTCAGAGGCCGCTGCAGGTGAGCCAGGAGCACTAGGTCGCCCCGGCTACCTTGTCAGAGTCTGTCTGCTTGGGCCAAGATGCTGCAGGCTGGGGCTTCCCTCCCTCAACCCAGCAGTTTCTCTTCCAGCATTGCTGCCAGATGACTCAGCTTCATCCTTTCCAGGGTCCTACTTTAGTATTCTCCTCTCATCGTCCAGCACTGAGGTTTCCTCAACATTTCATCCTACTTTACTCCTGCCGAGCATGTCCTCTCATACCACTGCTTTGTTTTAGGGAGGCTGTTTTTTCCCCTCTGGTGCTTGTCCTTCTTAGTCCAAAGCAGTGAAGTCTCTTTCTTGGTACTTTCTCTTCTCAGGTATCTCACAAGGTCTCCTGTGTTCATTCTTCTGTCCTTTCCACGATTTCTTATTTTTTCCCTCTTACTACTGTCTACGTCTTCCCCTGTTCCCTGCTGTGGTGTCTCGGGGGGTTCCTCCATCAGAAACTACTGCAGTACCTGGGCAATAGTTCAGT